GGATCTCTGTGAGTTCGAGACCAGCCTGGTCTACAAGAGCTAGTTCCAGGACAGGCTCCAAAACCACAGAGAAACCCTGTCTTGAAAAACCAAAAAAAAAAAAAAAAAAAAAAAAAACTCAAAACCCACCCCCAGGGACACACTTCCCCCAAAAGGCCACCCGTCCAAATTCTTCCAGTGCTATCAAAAAGTTCTATTCCCTGGTAATTGAACATTAAGTATATGAGCCTACAGGGGCCATTCTTTTTCAAACCAGCACACTTGACTAGTGTAGTGAGCATTGCAGTAGGTGAAGCCCACCCCTTTGAAATGGTATTCTTCTGTCCGTCAGTCAGGGAACTTAAACTTGGGCTTCGAAAGGCATTCCACTCACCTGTCTGGAGCCTAGACTGGGGACAGTGTGAGATCACAGACATGCGTACCCAACATCAGGGTTCATTAGAGAACCCGTACAAGCAAGAGGCCGCATGCGCTCCCAAGGGGGCTGCTGCTGGTACCCATTGCACACCAGGTCCCCTTGAGAAAAGAACCTGATTAGTTTAACTGGTCGCAGAGGAACACTGCTTTTTAATCGCTAATTGATTACCTAATTATAGATTACAGTGGAACAAATTATATCACACTCACCAATTTTTCACAAGCTCTTCTCAGCTACAAACCTCTTCACAAACCCTGTAGTTCTGCCTCTCCAGAATGCTGTGGAAATGGTCGCTCCTTGTTCAGCCTTTCAGACCTAGGGTCTATGTGGTACTTCCTTCCTAATCTCTCAGTATCTAACTAGCTTGAGCTAGAGAGACAGCCAGAAAGATGGCCCAGAGGGCAAAGACACTTTTGCAGCTGAACCCGATAATCTGAGTATAATCCCGAGGAACCAGAGAGAGAACAGATTAGTGGAAATTGTCTTCTGACCTCTACATGCATGCAGGGCACACACACGCACACATGGATATAAAGAAATACATGCATGCATTATGTAAGAGAGAAAAGGGGGGAGATGACTCAGCAGCTAAGAGCTCTGACTGCTCTTGCAGGGAACCTGGGTTCGATTCCCAACATCCACATGATGGCTCACAATTCCCTGTTGCTCTAGTTCCAGGGGATCCAGTGCCCCCTTCTGCCTTAGTAGGCTGGTGCACACACCTGATTTCTATTTTTAAGATTTGAGATGGGGCTGAAGAGATGGCTCGGCCATTAAAGGCTAGGTTCACAACCACACAGACAAGGTTTAAGGGGGTGGTTGTTTGGTTGGTTCTCCTTGATTGCTTTCCACTTGATTTGTTGACGAGGGTCTTTCACGGAATCCAGAGCTCACCAGTTCGGCTAACTAGCCAGCTTGCCCTTGACTCCCTGCCTCTGACTCTCGAGTACTGGGATTACAGGCGTGCGCCACCGCTGCCCGGCTACCTGCCTACTTTTAAGTGGATTCTCGGACTCAAACATTGATCCTCACACTTGAATAGCAAGCGCTTTATCCATGGAGCCATCTCCCCAGCCCCATTATTTCTTTGTAAATTCCGTGTTTATATCATTTACCTGTCTCCAAGAGGGTATTTTACTCCTGTCTTGAGCAATAGAAATTTTTGTGTGTGCAGATTATCAACCATTGCTCTGCATACAGTATCTTTGTGGATATA